GGTCATTAGGTCTGATGCTGTGCCACGCAAACTTGCTCTACCCCGCGCGAGGAGAAGTCGATAGTGATGTATGAGTGACCGGCGTTATTAACGTTTCATTTCGACCATTCACGTGGGGACCTTATGTCGCACATCACGTATTAAGCGCTAATATTTTGAATGCATCGTTTAGAAGCAGACTGCAAGCAGGTCTGTTTCTGTGTAGGACAGACTCTGCGACAAGCGGGTGTAAAGAAACTCACAGCCCTTGTGCTTTCCTTATTGATGTCTCCTCCCTTCTATACAGTAGAAGGAGAAGCGCAAGAGTAATGGTCGAGCAATGGCTGATAAACTCCGCCCATCTCTGTGACCATCCCGTTATCGTGGAATGTGTTTTGAGCGACTGTCTTGCGGGAGGGGGTCAAGAATACCATAAAAGCTGCGAGAAGTTTGAATCTTCTGCTAAGTTCTTTTTCCTCACTCTGAATGGTGTTAATGCGTGGATGCTGAAGGCAAAGCTACTGTAACCATCACAAAAGTAGGGTCAGTTGAGATCCACAACTATAAATGCGTGCTCAAAAGATCGATAAAAGTGTTTCTCATGGCGAACTTTGTGTGAAAATAGGTATTACCGGGCTCAAAATTAGTGCTGGAATACGCCGACGTACATATGACAAAGTAGCTAATTCCCTCCTAAAAGGCACCGACATGCAGAGACATCGGACTTTCCCAGGGGAACTTCCTCAATTATGACTTCTGCTGTAAACACTGCCTTTGAGCAGTGAACATCTGCTACGCGCGTATGAGAAAAAGTTACGACGACATGTGGGAAAACAGGAAAAATGGTGGAATGTCTGCAGTAACAGCAAAAGCCGGTGCCATAAATATATCACAGTTTACCGTATAATCTGACTTTTTCAGTCTCTCGAATCCACAAGACGGATGCTCGCATTATGTGAAGAGGTTTAGTTTTCCACGAGACGGAGGCCTCGCATTATGTGAAGAGGTTATTTTCTAATCAGATCAGTTTTTTTTTTTTTATTTAATTTCGTTTTACTTGATATAAAAAGCTCATCGAATGCATGCAAGGCGTGTACCTGGAAAAGTTACGGTAAATCTTCGGCTAGTGTTATGGATAGGCGCGATGTTAGGAAGCACAAGTATAAGAGTAGGTCCCTGAGGGAACTCAGTCTTTCTGAAAGGGGTCTTTGATCGATTTCGGGAGATATTTGTGAGCAGTACAGTACAACATTACAATGATTCCCAATTTGTTCGTGTATGGTCCCTTTCCAAAATGTTTTCGGGAACGGAACACCATTCATTAGAGTGAAGACTGATGTTACAAACAGCAATCTAGCAAGCCCCCAGAAGGCACATATACGTATGGCTATAATGCAGCGTTCAAGACTTCCACGGGCTTTCGGCTACCCGCGGCGCTTCGAGACCCATCAACTGCGCCAAAAGCCATGCGCACGAGCGTCAATCGCTCTCTACCTTCTTTGGCTCCTCCCTGAACAAAGCGCTGCCGTCCGAAGTCTGAACGCTGCCTATGCGATGTGGTCAAGAGATCTGAAATGGGACAAAGGTACTTGAAGTTAGACTTATATGGCGGCACAGCTGCCACGTCATGTCTGCTCGCCTGCGCTCTCCCACTGAGTGAATCTTATGGTTAGTTAATTGATAATAAAGTTGCAGTCAGTCGGGAAGGTGTTAAGAGGGTGGCGGGCTTCCTTCGATCAGTTATTGTGAATGATGATTTAGGGAGGAAACAACCACTGTAGACACCGCTCGGCCTATCCAGTTTCCTCACACCCACCCTACTCTCATAGCCGACAAAGTCCAGTTATCGTACCCTTCACAAAAGGAATCATTCTTAGAGCTAGAAAAACACTGGCAAACCTAAAAACAAGCGCACGACATACGTCCCCAGCACCCTATTTCTACTGAACTACCATATACCTCTTGAAGGAAAACACCGCCGTAAATAGCCTTCATGGCATCTGCGTTAAGGACCTAATTGATTTGACACAAAAGTGCTGCAGCAAGTCGGACCAATTAGTTAGCAGGAACTTAGTCGGCTGATTTGTGTCGCCGCAGCCCCGTCTCCCAAGTCATCTTCGCCGTGGCCTGTGACTCCAGCAAACCAGAAGGATCAGTCAACTGTTAAAAGGAAGCATGACAGCAGCTACAAAAATGAAGTTCAAGATCCATGCTTAGGCGAATAAAACTAAATTAAAAAAGCATGTAGAACAGCAAACCAATCTCCAATGAAATTACTATTCGTTCAGTAGCAAGGAAGCCTGTATATGAAAAACGTTGGTCTCAGCTCGATGATCAAAGGACGGTAAGCGAGCTCAAACTATTTCTTGTTTGTTGCTCAAAGAAGGGGGAGTATCCTGTGCTCATTTCGCTGCTGAATCCCCTGGTTCTCCACTTGTTCTGTTCGGTTTATCCCGCATTTCAAGGGTTTTGCCATTTGGCAGTCGAAACGCATCTGTGAGACAACTTCTTTCAGCACTTCGAACCGTTACACGCGCTCCTCCCACGAGCCGCATCGTCGCATATAAAACCTGGGAACGAATCTCTCCCTTCTGAAACCACATGTTCACTGACTAGTTGTAGTAGTCATTGTATACGTAGTTATAAATCAGTCAAAAAAGGTCGATAGGCAGCCGCAATCACCGAAGGGTAGCCGGTCAATCGGCGCTGTTCACATTATTTCTAGTAACTGGAAAAGTGGACCATCATTTCAGAGCAACTCGAGCGATGCGAAGGTGCTTTGGACACAATCAACACGGATATGAAGGAAGCCGAAGAACATCTCAAAGGAATGGAGAAATGTTGCGGATTGTGCGTGCTGCCGTGGAACAAGTGCGTCACTCTCAATATAGGAAATTTTGTCTGCTGAGTGCCTTTTTGCCTCCAAAGATAGTCGTTCAAATTGGGGAACCGCCATCTTGGTCCAGGGTACAGCATTGCGATGTGTCAATGGCGGATTCGGCTTGCACGTACGACCCCCCCCCTCGAAGAGGGTCCAGATACGACCCCCCCCCTCCTGCTCTAACTGACAACCAGATGCATGTTCACCACAAATGGCTTCCTGAAATGGAATCTGGATTCTCGAAAGGCGCACTCTGCTCTAAAATACAGGAAATAAAAGGCTGTTTCAGCCTCATGCAATATGAGGCTGAACAACAGCCTCGCATTACCTACAATTTTGTCTTAGGATTCAAAATAAAACTCCTCGTTCGATAACTATGTATGACATGCAACTTGTAACAAGGAACACAATTGAAATAGCGGCTAATGGTGATCATTGATAGGCTGAATTGGTGAAAAAATAGCCCCAAGGTGAGCGTGTCAGGGCCCAGATGTGCATTCAATGAATGGTGACGGGGAAATAATGAAAACATGCACGACACAACAAAGCGAAACATGGAAAATACAAAAAAAAATGCAGAGCTAAATGAAAAAAGGATAACCAGGCCGGCAGTAAATCGTTCCATACTTGGCTATTATCGATCAGGCTGCAGGGCGCAAGGCTGCGACCGCTTTCTTTGGAAAAACGTCATTGGAGCGCGGTTGTTGGACTTGCCAACGTCCTGGGTCCTGGTCGCTGGTGTATTACTTTTTTTTTAGGTGATTCTGCTTTTGAAAAATGGTTGGGGTGGGGGGATTGTGGTGAGCAGCATGCAACGGCAAAGTTTCTACTATTGTGTATTCTACCTAGCTGCAAACTGAACAATCCCCCGTTGGTGAAATATTCCGGATGGGTCACGGTTCGGCCAGGGGTAAATCGCGAGCTGGTTTCCATGATTCACACAAGGACTGCTTCGTTCAAACGCATTCATCAGATGAAGTCTATTGAAACCCCTCCATCTTTTCTCTTCCATAAGCTTTACAGTTTTTCTGAAGACCCACTAGTTCAGGAGATATTTTAGATGGGTCACAGATGCGCCACCCTCTGACCCACCCGAAAAATTGACTCCTTATGTGCCATTGTGAGGATACACCTTCGGAAACTTCAGTGTGCCTTCAAAACACATATTTCCCTTCAAATGAGTGAAAGAAGCTCGGCTATCTCTGATCGATTGGTCCGTGCGCCGTGCATTAGGCACCTACGCAAAGATGGTGGAAAGGTGTAAATTCTGATTTCAGGCTTTTATCCATGCAAGCAGATGTTTGGTTTAGGGTTTGTAAAGGACAACGCGACACGAATCTGTTGAGACGTATTATTTAGAACCCATTCTTACGAAAAAAAAGTACGAACCCATTCTTGGGATTTCCCATGAAAAGAGGGCTGTTAAACGTAGCATTTAAGCTGTAAAGAATACACTCATAATAAACTTCATTTTTTTTAAACATCTTGACTTCCATAGCTCCACTCCCACTATCAACTGAAATGTCGAACCATTGCTCGGCTCTGAGTGACCCTTGAGATTACGACCCCCCCCCTCTCCATCGGCCAGGTACGACCCCCCATGGGTTTGGCACAACGATGCTGTACCCTGTCGCGTCGGCATATCCCACAACTGTCGAGCGTTGGTCAGAGCATGCATGATTCCACTGAGCTTTCTACCAATAGAGGTCGCTTCAAGAGGAAAATAGCCAGTAAAAGAAAACTCTGCGTGTGGGCTCATTCCACGTTTCCTGACACCTCCCCGTCTGACTGCGACTATAGCAACCGCACCCCTATTTTGGTAGCGTGATTCGCGCCAAAATTCGCCGATGGGAATCACCAGTGTGCACGACACGGCTCTTGAACGCAGTTTATGTCTCCAAGTGGTTTGAGGGAGAGTACTGTCAACGTCACTAGTGGAAGGCTGCAGGAGGTTGTTTGACAACACCCCACTCAGGCCCCGCCAATGACGTTAGCAATGACCGCCCGCGCCAACCATCTTCCCACCTGCCTTACGACACACTTTTATAACAAGAAGGTCGATGATTGTTTCACACGTTTATTCCTCCCCTCTGTGGCAATTTTTGCATAGTCAATGTCGCTAAGCGCTGCGGTGCTGTCAGGACGGATTTGTGCAGGAGCAGCCTGACCATATCAGCTGCCCCTCCCTATATTTTGATTTCCCGGCAGTCGCCAATGTGCACGACGCCGCAGGCAAAGGGCGCGAAGGCTGGTAGCAGTGGTTACTGCCAACGTCATTGGTGGAGGGCTGCGAGAGGGACTTTGACCACCCACTCAGGCCTTCCATAATGACGCCACGAATAACCGCACGCACGCCCCACCATTGTTCCCACTCCTTTATTACCATCTTATAAAACAGGAAGCGGCCATTGCTGTTTCACCACGTTCCACCAACGCTCGCACGTATACTTCCGCCTCTGTGAACTTTTGCATGGTCTTGTTCGCTGAGAATGCTGGGGCGTGTCAGGGGGCTGGGTTTGGCGTGAGTACCTTCCCTTTTCCATTACTGAACGACCAAAGCCGCAACGATAGGTGAAACCGGGCTGGCGCCGCACCAAACACAGCTCACTGATAAGCCCCACCATTTGCAGTGAACAAGAGCATTCGCCCACTGTTTTGCTGCCAGAAATCTGAACTCAAGGAAGATACAGTCTATCACTTATGTCGCGACATGTTAGGAGCGCATGGATTTGGGCTGGCCTCAGCCCCTCTTCCACTGCTCATGTACCGAAGTGATCGACAGAACCGGGCTTGCGCCGCGTCAAACCCATGTTTCGCTGTCACGCCCCGACTGACTGACTGATACGGTTTACATACCTGGATCAAACCAACTAACCTAATTAAACCAAATCGTATTTCTCGAATATCCATATTACACGGTACTTTCAGGCAGACGATTTCGAAAAAACTCAGAAAGCAAAAGCGCCCCCTAAAGAAAGACGATGATGGTGGAGTGATCTCAGATCAGCCTAGGATCACTGTCGGCGATTCCTCAATGGGACCACAAGGAGGATATGTGACCAGGTTCGTTGCCAGTACTCACAAAACCTTAGTCTCACAGTTTACTTATTCGATTCTCCACTATTCAAATGTGTTGCAGGATCACCAATGACGCACGCGAAGATGAGATGGACGACACTCTTTAAACGAGAAGTCAAAGCTCTAAGTACACGGTTTAAATTTTATGTTCGACCTTCTTTTTCATTTTTTGTAAGGGTGCTTTTTTTTTTTTCTGGTCGAAACACCCCAAAGACACATGGGCACTATTTACCCTTTATTTTACTGCCCCAACCATCCAGAATTGAGCCATTTTTGACCGACTTTTTTCTCCGTGGACAGATTTGGCTCAAATGTTGTCTCCTGGGGTAGTTTGACCCCTGAATACGAATATCACATTCGCTTAGTCCGAAACCGGTGATCTGGAGTATTTTGGCGCCAGCGCCTGCAGCTTGGGGCTAGGAGGTTTCGGCCGAGCTCATGTGATATTCGTGTTCAGTAGGTCAGACTACCCCTGGGAACAAGTTTTCAAATTTTAGCCAAATTTTTAGCCAATTTCGCCCACGCAGAAAGAAGTCGGTCAAAAACTGGCCCGCTTTTAGAAGATTGGGGCAGTAAAGGGTAAATCCGGTGCAGAGTCGCAAGAATGACAGACCAGCGTGGATTGTCTTGTGCTACACATGCTCCCAGGTAATGATATGTAATTTCGAAACCCGTCAAGCAGTGGGATATCTGTTCAGCCCAAGTTCTAGTCTAGTACTGCCCCTTGTCCAAATGTGGTCATGAGAAGGACAGTCTCTCAATTGTCAGCCAGACTCTAACTAAGCCTTGCTCGCTGCAGACGATGGGGCGTGTCAAGATAATTGGGCTTGGAGCAGTGCCAAGCCCGTTCACCAGTTTCTAAAGCGGGCAAGCGACAAATTTGTATCATATAGTTGGCATTAGTCTTTTCCACCAATTCTTGTGGCTTACTCGCTCCAACGCGCGGGTGGAGCGCCGAACCTAG